CTTGAGCACTCTACCAGCCCTGTTTTGTGTTGGGTATTTTTGAGATATGGTCTCCAGAACTATTTTCCCAGGGCTGGCTTCGAACCAAGATCCTCCTGATCTCTGCCTCCTGGGTAGCTAGGATTACAGATGTGAACCCCCATCTCCTAGCTCTGAACTAACTTTCTATTACTCAAGAGCCCATAATCTGTTTATCTTGCTGCTCATCTCTTCCTGGTGGCTGGTGACTGCTACTCAAACATCCAAGACAGGAATGTGGACTAGCTACACAATAGCCCTCCACTGAGGACTGTCTTTCCAAAGGAGAATCCAGTAGATGGACAGATGTGAGAACCAGGGGCACACTGGGGCCTTCTTTAATTTCAGAACAGGACCTCTTATACATTGTTACTGGGGATGGAAAGCAGCACAATTCCTATGTGCTCCTTTCCATACACTGGGGAAATATTGGCCCCAGAGATACAAAGGTAAAAATACAAAAAGACACGTGCACTCTGCCGCAATATTTCTGACAATAATAGACTGAAAACAACATAAACAGCAATCAAAAGCACCTGCTTGAAAAAAATTGATGTGTTTTTATAATGGAGAATTAATAGAAAATACGGTTCTATGGAATCATATTCAATATATTGTTAGGCAAAACAAAAGGATGGCTAAGGAAAGTGTGTAGTAGTATGCTGTCATTTACCATTTGTCTGTGTTATTTTGTGTGTGTTGGGGGAACTGGGGTTTGAACTCAGGACTTCACACTTGCAAAGCAGGAACTCAACCACTTGAGCCACACCTCTAGTTCATTTTGCTCTGGTATTTTGGAGATGAGGTCTTGCAAAGTATTTGCCTGGGCTAGCCTTGAACTGCAGCCCTCCAGATCTCACCCTCCCAAGTAGCTAGGATCATAGGTGTGAGCCACTGGCATAAAAGGAAAAAAAATTTATCTATGCAGAAGGAGGAACAGGGTGGAAGGGATGGGATTAGATGACCGACTTCTCTGACTACATCTTATTGTGTGGATTTGATTTTGGAGTTAAGTAAGTTGTTTAAATAATTGTAAAAACAATTAAAATTGCAAGCAACTTCAGCAAAATGAAGTGAAACTATCCTGATTATAGTTTAGGGCATAACTACAGAGAGAGGAGCTATACTCCAAGTGATTTTAAAACAGCAAGTTAACTGTACATCATTAATGATATGAATTTAAGAATAAAAAATTGCAAAAGAATTATTTAAATTTTTTCAGTAATTGTATTTTTGTAATGTTGATATTGTTATTTTACAAATTTTTAAAAATGTATAATTATTTCAGTGATGTTGAAAAGGTCTTCAAAATGAAAGCAGATATAGGATCAATGAAGTTTTGTTAAAAACCAAAAAAATCTTGCTGGGTGTGGGGGCACATGGTCTATAATCCCAGCATTTAAGAAGGGGAGTCAGGAAGATTGAAAGTTCAAGGCTAGCCTGGGCTACATAGCAAGACCCTGTTTCAAATAACTAAAGCAAAACCAAAAAACCCACAAAATTGAATTGAATTGGAAGAATAAACTCATGTAGTGTTTTATCTTAAAAAAATAATACTGATAATACATTCCTAGTTCTATCCAGTAAAGGCAAAAAACAATGACCTAACCACTACCAGTGAGCCCTCCTGACCCCCAAGTCCTGATCTCTAGTCACTCTAATTATCATTCCCTACCAGAAGGAAGCACGGATTCTTGGAAAGAATGGCTGATTTCAGGGCCCAGCAGAAAATATACAAGATAAACTAAAAACATCTTGCCATACAAAATAACTAGTATCAAAGACTCATAGGGTCAAGTCAAAAGGAATCACCCAATCTGAAGCAACTCCCAAGGGCCAAAGGCAGGACAATTTGAGCAACAATATGACAACAACCTCCATCCCTATCTGACCTTTTTTGTGCAAACCAAATTCCAGGGTAACTGAGAAATAGATGAAAGGAAGCTTCTCTTTATAAAGTATGTCAGATAATAAATGAAGAAAAAACAATAGCCCTAGAATATTAATCAGAGCCCTAAAGAAGTAATGGAGCTACATAATAATCATCAATGACTGATAACAATAGGAGACACAACCAAATGTTATGGCTCCACTGAAGTACCTGTCACCACCAATAAAGTGGCCTTGCTAAAAAAAAGCTAACTTGAATCTAACTAAATATCTAGATGCAACTACCAATTTATAAGAAATAGTACAGAAAAACACACTGAAAGATACCTCAGAGGTACATTCAGGAGAATCTGAACTGTGAGAAACTCAATAGAATAAACAACCCAATATTCTGCCCTCTAACAAAACCACCAGGTTATTCCAAAATATGCTAAAATGTGGGAACCACTGCAACAGATTAAAGGAGACTTAAGATTCATATCAATAAACTACAGTGCATGAACCTAATTCAAGCTAATACAAATGAAAAATCTTGAGTCACTAAGGGAAATTTAAACAATATTTTAAGGTAGTGATGAATCATTTTTAATTTTTCGGATGTGAATGGCATGGAGGTTATGTTTTTTTAAAAAATCTGATCTTCTAGAGACAGGTGCTGAAATATTTATACAAAGTCGACTTTATTCAAAGTCGTCATGAGCTGCAATGAGATTTGATGCGACAGTTGGCCATGTGTTGATTATTGAAGCTGCAGGTTCACCCAGAGTTCATTATATTATTCTACTTTTGTTTATGTTTGCAACCTTATATGATAAAAAATTTTAACACCCTCCCAAATAATATGAATCTATATTACCTGGAAAGAGGTGCGAATTAATACTAATGTAGCACAGATGAGCTATGATAGGACCAAGAAGTGGGTGTCCATTAGGAAAAGTAAGAAGAGTATTGCTATAGTTTGGATCTGGAATGCCTCCCAAAGGTCTATGTGTTAAAGCCTTGGTCCCCAGCTTGGCCCTACTGGGAGATGGTAGGAACTTAAAGAGGTGGTCTTAAGTCATTGAGGTTGTACCCTTGAAGGGGATTGTGGGGCATGGTGCTCTTCCACTCTCTTTGTTTTGATTCCCAGCCAAGAAGAGAATAGGCTTTGCTCTGCTACACATTGCTGCCATGATGGACTGCTTTGCCACCGGCCCAAAAGCAATGGGGAAAACATCTCATGGACTGAAACTGTGAGCCAAAATAAACCGTTAATCTTTATAAAGATGTATCAATTATCAAAGCTATTTTGTTACAGTAACAGAAAGCTGACTAACACAGTATAAAGAACAAGATACTACCCAGAGGGGAGATTCAAGCCAAAATCCATCAGAGGGGGTCCCAGTCAGGCACTCATACTGTGGTGCCATGGGGACTGGGGGCTCAGAGAGTGATTTCAAGAAGACAAGTTTGATGATGGATGATCTTGGTGATGAAAATTGTTACTTTACATTGGTCCTGTTTGGCATCAAAGTCATCATCATATGTCAGCTTGGTGGTTTACGCTATAGATCTCCCAAACTATTCCCTACCTGCTAGGAGGTGGCAGGATTGTCCCCCACACACCTCCATCCCTTGCAGGAAAAAAGAATTAATCATAGTGACATCTCACTTTCAGGAACATGGCACTTGGACTCTCCCACCTGGTGTTCTGCACAGGTGACTGGGTGGCATGCAGGCTTCTGACCAGTCATATCACCATTTAGAAACAGAAGGCTGTGAATAATGTTTTAATAAGTATCATAATGCCCCCAAAAAGCAGGTTTGCAGACCCTTGTTCTATTAGAGAGATTTCAGCTGAGCTCATGGGAGAAGGAAAATCTCACAAGCAACTCTTGACCATGTCTCACAAAAAAGGGTAAGGATAAATGATTCTAGAAACCATCTTTGAAAAGGGCTTATCACTAAGCTAGTGACACACTTCTTCTGTCTCCATCTTATACCAGGGCAATTACAAAGAATTTTTAAAGAAAATATGTGAGAAGCAATCTTACTGGTAGATGAACATCTATCTGGACATTGAAACTTCCTCACAGCCCACCTGACTTTTACTTTGAACAGTCTCCCCCACCCTGCTGCATCGACAACCTTGGCCAGTTTTCCTGCTTCAGTCACCTGGAGGACGTTACTCCATGGTTCTTTCATCAGAAGAAGAAAGTCATGGAATCAAGGCCAATTTGACCATTTTCCTAAACTCTCCATGGCCAGATGTCCTTACCAATCTTCCATGTGGCCAAGACAAATTCAGAGTAGTGGAGCAATCCTAAGCATTACCTCTGCATTTTTTCTCTTACTCATTTACTCCAGTCTGTCCAACCCAGGCAAGAGAGAGCCAGCTCTCCCCTCCCAGAAGGCACCAGGCTGTTTCATGCTCAGGGAGAAGTCAGATGGGCAAGGAACAGCAGGCTGTATTTCTTCAGTTATGTTCTCAGACAAGATATCTCAAAAGGGAAGTAATTCAGGCAGAATCCATGTTTTCATGTTGCTTTGTTGGTCCAGAAGAATCTGTGTGGGGTTTACAGGCCCTCCTTGCCCTGGCAGGCATGGCACAGGGGAATGTAGACAAGAACAACATGCTGGGTGATGGGAGGGAGCTGCCCTCTATGCCAAGTGCACAGGGGCATGAATGGACCTTCAACATAGCTGGAACCACGTCAGTCATAATAAGGCGGAGCTATCACAATGCAGAATGATTGACTATCAACTCAGACAGACACCATGAGCTTTTTCCTCTCCAGCTAGTTCAGACTTACAATGCCATTCATACAGCATTCTGAAAAGCGCTGGGAAAAAACAAAGACTTGAGAAAGTTAGTGCATCATCTAAGGGAGGGTCTTAAAGCAGAAAAAATGTAATGGTGGCACAGTTTGGATTTTGTGGCTATACTGTGTCACACCATGGGGACAGAGTGCACCATTGCCTTGGAACCTTGGTGAACAGGGGCAGGGGCAAGGTGGAGGGGAGAGACATCTGTTGCAATCCGTGCCCACAGCTGTGTCCTTGGAGTAGAGAAATCATCCCAGGTCTCCATACTCCAGTGTCCCCATGGCACCCTAGAAGTCATAGGGGGATACAAAGATGGTAACCTTGGACACGTGGTTGGCCTGGAAGGAGCGTTCCAGGTATTCTGACATGTCAACATCTACCTCCACCGTCTGAGGCCCCTCCAGGGTCTGGATGAGGATCAGTTCCCCTGTCTGCCGGTCTGAGCGCTGCATCACAAAATGTCCACGGCTGCTCCCACCCACAATCCCAAACCTCAGACTGTTGGGCCCAGGTCGGCCAGGAGCTGAGGCTGTGGCCATGCGGAAGAGTGTGATGGGCGTCTTCAAGTTGGAGGGCAGAGAGAGGTAGTGGAAGGAGATGGTCTTAGGCAGATGGCGGCAGGGTCTGCTGTCCATGGGACAAGGATTTCGCTCACACTGGCTGGAGCAGAGGCAAAATGGAGGCAGTCAGATTTGGAGGAACTCAAGAAGAGCCCCACCTGCTCTCTTGCAGAGGCCACCTGGGTGACTTCTCCAGCCATGGGTCCCTCACCCAGGAGCTCTGGAGTTGTAGGCAAGTGAATGTGGCTAGTATCAGCCATGGCTAGGGAAGGGTTGCTTTTGTTCCTGATCACGGGAACTCCAGGTGTGTGTGTATGTGTGTGTGTGTGCATGCGCCCACACACACACATGCATGCATGGACATGTATGTGTCTATGTGCTATTACTATAGTCTTTACAGTGGAATAAAGTCTAAGAAGATTATGCAATGATGGAAATGCTGGTATTTGAGCCAAGTGCCCTTTCTTCAGGTGCTAAGACCTCCCTCAGTCATGGTGGGACCCCAGCAGTTAGCAACACCCTGAAATGTGGTGCTCCACAAGTGCCAAACTTTCCAAATATGTTTATTCTTTTTTTTTAGGCACCACTGGAGTTTGAACTCAGGGCCTTGTGTTTGCTAGGCAAGGTGCTCTACCACTTGAGCCATAGCCATAGCCCTCAAATATGTTTAAAGCAGGAAACCCTATCTCCATTAACCATTTGGAATTAAAGCCTTGTAGAAATGCTTTCAATATTTCTCTATCTTATCAAACATAAAAGACAAACACAACCTAGCATATTTGCTGGTTCTTTATCAAGATTAAGCAGGTCATATGCACATATGGAAATGTCATGATGAAATCCCTTACTGTGTTCAATTTAATACTTGACAAAAAAAAAAAGATTTCTCAGGTCAAATTTCACATGGGGCTGTTAATTTAATGCTCTGAAAGGCTACAACAGACAGGTTCCCTGTCCCTTAACTAAGTGACTCCTTGAGGAAAGTTCTGGTGTCTTCAGTCTCTCTAATAACTGTCACTCTTCAGTGTCACTGACTTTTCTTGCTGCCTCTAATCTGCTTTAATCAAAAAAGCAATTTAAATAAGCTTATGTAGCTAAGTCTTCATTTTAAAGAATTGTGAAGCCTCTTAGGATCTCTTTTTTTAGAAGAAAATGTGTGTGCTTTTATGTGAGTTGTAGTTATTTCTCCTAAAGGCCCATTTTCCAACCTTTAGAAAAACAACTCTATTTACTGTTTATTAAACACTGAGGTTACTAGACATTGGCCCATCTGGTACCACTGGAAGAGTAGAATGATATAATGCAAAGTGCCTGGGATACGCAATGTGACTGGAGTCTATCAGTTACTTACTATCTGAACATGAGAAAATGACCCTCTCCCCAAAAGGTGTAATACACACCTGGGTTTAATCAAGGTAATGTCATCAACAGCTTCCTCCACAGCCCTCTCTGACAGTACCACCCTGCAATGGCTGGAATCCCATTATCTTCTATATAAGCAGAGGAGCATTTGTTATCTTATTCTCACTGGGGCAAACTGGGTTTTTATTGCACTAAATGCAACCACTAAAGGAAATGGAATCTCGGAGGAGCTGGGCAGCCAGCTTCCTGCCCCTCATCTTTCCTATGACATAACTATACCTTCCCAGGAGCCTCTAGGAAGAATGCAGCCCTGCCACGCTGGGAGGAGTGGGTGAGAGGTGTGCATGCCCAAACGTGCGTGTCCCGGGCTGTACTCACAAGGGAGATGTCTTCACATAGCTCACGTTGCCACTGCCCTCGGGGCATTCAGGGCTGACGCACTGGAAGCCTCCCCCAGTGTTGACACACATGGTCCCGCTGGGACACACGTGCTGTTGTCCCACACACTCATCAACATCTGAAACATGGGACACAGAACGAGAATGAAAATCCTCCCATCACAGAACTACAGAAAAGACCACAATAGGCACTAGAATGTGGAACTCCACAGAGGTGAACTTTCCAAATACCCAAAGCTTATTCTTAATTTTTTTTTTTGGTTGGACTGGGATTTGAACTCACACTTTTGGCTTCACACTTGCAAAGCAGGCACTCTACTGCTTAAACCACACCTCCAGCCCTCTTCTTCCTTTTCTTTAAGACAAGGTCCTGTCATGTAGCCCTGGCTGGCTTCAAACTCTCAATCTTCCTGTCGCAACCTCCCATGTGCTGGAATTATAGATATGTACCACCATGCCTGGCTTCCACAGCTTATTCTTAAGGCTGGAACCCTGTCAGGGACCCTATCTTCTGTGACAATCTAAAATCAGGGGCCTTCATGCAGACCTGTTCTGGGGTACATCCCTCCTTAGGATCCTGTCTTCCTTCCCTTGGGCATGACAGGTGATGGAATGATGAATGGCAAGCATCAAATGAGAACTATCACTTACTGCTTCTCCCAGACCTCCCTTCCTCTTAAGCCCAAAGACCCTCTAATCTCCCAGTATGGTTGTTACCACACTCTAAGATTCAAATCTTTAGAAAAATCTTCTTCCTTAGCCTCATCCCATTCTGAATGCAGACATCTCCACTCTCATTTATAACAGTTCTCTGATCTCTTTACAAGCATCTGATGAGTTTACCCAGTTGGATGCTGTCTCTTTCCAATCTCAAGAAATTCAAAGTGGGCTTTAATGAGTGCTGTGGCATGGATGAGCTAGTGAATGTATGGATGGATGGATGGATGATTGAGCAGGTACTTGGGTGGGTTGGATGGGTGAGCAGATGTGTGGGTGCATGGGTGTGTGGGTAGGTGGATGTGTGGATGAATGGGTGGGTGAGTGAGTGGGTAGGAGAATGAATGGGTGAATAGATGGATGTATAGGTGGGTAGGTAGATAGGTGGATGGGATGGTGAATGGGTGGCCGGGTAAATGGGTAGATGGATGGATGGATGGGTGGATAAGTGGCTGGTGGGAGGATGGGTAGGTAGATGGATGAGTAGATGGGTAGATACCCCCTCCTACTTCAGACCCAAGTTACCCACTTCTCTGATCCCTACAGTGGGACTCCAACAAGATGTCACCAAGGAGCCACCTCTCCCTTCACATTTCCAAGTCATCCTGTGGAGGAGTCCTCTACCCTTTCTGTTTCCCTTCTCCAGTAGTTCACAGCCATTGTCTAAAGCCAGCTGGATTCCCTTCAATGTCCTAAATACATGCAAAGTACAACTGAGGGAGGCAGGTTTGTCCATCCTCCTAGTGTAAGTTAGGCCTACAGCAGCAAACCTAATTCTCCCCATATGCCTGCTACAGCACCAGAGTTCCTGGCCCTAGAACCAGGGTGAGCAAGTCGAGACTACACTTTGCCTTCAGGCCTGAGTTGTAGGTCCCCCTTATCTATGGTTTTACTCCTCAGTTTCAGTTACCTGTGGTCAAATGAGGTTTGAAAATAATACAATTTATAAGTTTTAAATAACTTTTATCACAGTATTATTGTCATAGTTATTCCATTTTATTATTAGTTACTGTTACCCTCTCACTGTGCCTGATTTATAAATTAAACTTTATCATAAGCATACATATATAGGACAAAAACATCATGCATGTAGGGTTCGGTACCATCCAAGGACCACAACTTTCATGGATAAAAAGGACTACTGCATTCTGCCTCTGAGCTAATGTGGAGATCCGTGTGTCTATCAATATCTGTATTTGCTGTAAGAGGAAATGGGGTAATTGGAGACCTCCTGTTAGGAGAAATTCTCAGCCTGTCCATTCTAGTAGCCACCCCCATTTAATGCATCCTCCCTTTCCCTCCTGGATGCTTCCAGCTCCCACTGCAGACATTTGTTGCCGATTAAGCCACTCTTTCACACCAAGCCTGAATACGCCATGCCTGGAATCAGCCTCAGAAACCTCAGCCCAGTCCTGCCGGAGACCTGAGGCACTGGGTGTTTATTCTAGTTCTGGTGGCAGGTGAATCCTCTGTGACCACACTTGGTCAGGGTCTGATAACCCTTCCCTCCTGTCACCCTTCAAACCCAGGGGTAGTAAGGGCCCCTCACTCTTGCCAGTCTGTGGGTGCTCTGCCTCCCTGTTGTCCTCAGCTAGCTATTAAACATGGCCATGAAGTCTGGCCACACTGAGGTATAAGTGCCTGTAAGAGGGGGAATTGCAGGTACCCACACAGGGCCATGGAGCCTTGTAGGGCCCTCCAGATTCCACTACAAGGGTGACTAACTGACTGCTCCACCTTTGAGTTCAGCCTACCCTGTCGAGTGGGTGGAAAGTGACCTGAACCCCACGAGGGCAGAAGAGAGTATTTATTAGGATGGTTAAGCAGCTCATTATCTACTTATGAAGATGGTGTGGCCTGGTCTTTGAGAGGCCCTTTTCTTGGTGTTTTTGTTTGTTTGTTTTTGTTTTTTTAAAGACCAAATGTGTCCCATTGACTCCCCAGTCCTGATTGTGAAGCTGGAGGTGGGGTGGGTCACAGCAGCAGCAGGTGATCAGGTGCAGAGGGCACTGGCCAGCCCCGCAGTCACCTGCCTCTGCTGCAGTCTCTCTCACCTTCACAGCTCTTCCCGTCAGCCAGGGTCCGGTATCCACTGGGACAGGCACAGCGGTAGGAGCCTGGGGTGTTCACACAGGCGTGCATACAGAGCCAGGGGCGTCCCTCCTGCCTGTACAGCTCACATTCATTCACATCTGAAGACAGAAGTGTCCACTATGATTTCTCAAGCCATGCAGCCGCAATCAACAGGCCATCACCCAAGACCACAGGATTCTCTGACAGCTGTGACTTAGTGGCTGGGCCTGGGGCACCCACCTATCCCTATCCCCAGTCTAGCACCTGGAAGAAGAGAGGTAAACTCTCCTTACTCCTGAGCCAAGGGTGCAGAGGACTTAAAGGAGGAGTGGAGGGAGCTGACTAGGTAGACCCTAGAAGGGTGCCTTGGTCTAACTGGGAATGCCTGACCCAGAGAGTAGGACCCACCTCACAGCCCCATCCTAACTCCCCTCATCATGGAGAATTTCGCGGCTGCAGATAGGAGCCTGTTAAAATCAACTGACCAAATCTGTTTGAACTGCTGAGTTGGGTTGTGTTTGGAAGGAACTTTGGGAGGAACCAGGAGAGATTAGCAAAAGTCAGCTGGTCAGTATAGCTATCCAAGAGGGGACCAGGAATGAACCCCAGTCCCTTACACAGCTCCAGGGCTCTATCACCTCAATGATTTATGTTTCTGCCTGCCACCCGCCTGTGTGAACCCAGCCAGGATCGTGGGGAACCACAGGATTCAAGACCATTCAGCAAGAAATGCATGGTTGGTCACAGGCAGGGCCGGATTGTGACATCGGGCGAACCTGGGACCTCCTGGCTGCTTTCTTTGCAGTCTTGGTTTCTTATGCACACCCCTGAGGTCTGCGAATTAGCTTCATCCATCAGGGCAACGCGTACCTAAAACGCAAAGTGGGCTGGCTTTTTGAAACCACGCCCAGGAAGCCACACACCCCAGGGTGACCGGTGGGACGTCTTTCCCTCTCTCTCCCCCGCCCTCCCCCAGTGTCTCCTCCTGCGGTGCCCGATCGGCCATGGAGCCTGTGCCTACCCTGGCAGATGCTGTCGCCGCCGGCCGCGCCGCTCAGGTGGAATCCCGCCTCGCAGCTGCAGTGCTGCGCCCGCTCCACCTGCGCACAGCGCGGCGCGCGGCTGAAGGCGGGGTCGCCGGCCACGCTGCCCTCCGCGGCCGCTGCGGGGAGAAGACACCCTCAGTGGCCGCCCTGGAGCACCTGCCGTGGGCCCAGCCGTGGGGAGGGGCCGGGAAGAGACCTAAGACCGAGCGCGGCCCCTTCTCAAAATGCTTACTCCAGAGAAGGGAAAGGAAAGACAGGTGACTAACGGTAAACCGAACCCACGTCCACGGCCCACGCAAAGGGACGGAGGACAGCGAGTGCACCCGGATGTGATGGTGCATGGAAGAGCAGGGCCTGAACTGCCCACGGAGAAGGATCCCTGGGATGTGAAGTCAACGTTTGCATTTTAAAAGGCTTAAACAATCCCCAAATAAGGAGAGTAGTCACTGAAGTTTAAAACTTTGGGTCTTTACTTGTGTGTGTGTGTGTGTGTGTGTTTATACTTTTCCAAAGTGTTCAAGTTTTTACTTGGTATTTTGTTTTGTTTTTGCATTTTACCAAGAACACAGATTTCTTTTTTTTTTTAAAGATATCTATACAGTCTCATTATGACATTTTTATGACAAATTGCTTTTCTAATCAGAAAAAAAGTTTTTTTTTTTTAACGTTTTCAGTGAATTTAAAGCTGTCACGTGGTTGAGGGAGATTGAAGAGCCATGGGTGGGAAAATGAGTAGGAGGCAGAAGAGGACAGATGTCCTGGGAGTCACTTAAAGGAGGTGTCTAGAGCGATCCAGTTCATAGAGATGGAGTGGAATAGCGCCGACCAGGGCTGGAGGAAGTGTTTAATGGAGACAGAGTTTCAGTTTGGGAAGATGAAAAAGTCCCGGAGATGGACCAGTGGTGATGGTTGCACAACAGTGTAAACGTTGCCACTAAATGGTACATGTATAAATGGTTAAAATTGCAAACGTTGTGTGTATTTTTACCTTGATTAAAAACAAGATGAAAAGATTTTTAAACAGTGATTGGTGTGCGTGCCTGTAGTCCCAGCTCTTTAGGAGGCGGAGGCAGGAGGATCACTTGTGCACAGAAGTTCAAGCCAGCCTTGGCAACAGTAATTTGAGAGAAGGTGGCCAGGGAGCTAGAAAGGCACAGGGCCAAGGGTGGGAAGGAAGTGAGGGAACAGGTGAGCAAGAGCCCAGAGGTCTGCTAGCTAGTTGTTGGTAGGCTGGTAGCCTCAGATGTACCTGCTCACTCCCTCCTTTTCCTTCTGCTGAACATTCTGGTCATGGGGATACTTCATAAAGTGACCCGAAGAGCAGTGGCCTGAAGGCTCCACAACAGGAGGGTATACTGGCATAGTTGGGATGAAAAGAAGGCATTCCTTTTCCCCTTTTATTTGCAAACAGAGGAAGAGGCTACCAAGAAGGCCCTGCCTCCCCGTTTTGTCTCCAACACAAGAGCGGAAGGGGCCCTGGGCTCCCCTGGAGGGCCAGGCTTATCCTGAGAAAGTGCTTGGCAGGCTGACTCCATTAACTGAGGCAAGGTGTGGTAAGCAGCACAGCTCTGTGGGTGCTAATTAAACCTGACCTTGAGCAGGGTACATAAGAGGATATTATTTTTTTTGTTTGTTTGTCTTTTGAGACAGGGTCTGACTATGTGGCCAAGATGGCTCCAAACTCGTTATCATACTACCTCAGCATCCTGAGTGCTGGGATGACAGGTGGATATTAAGCATTTGTAAACTCCTACTCTCTGGACATCTCCTAACCATTGATGCCCTTCCCCCACAGAGATGCCACAAGGAAATAAAGACAACCACACAGAACATTCCAGGCTTGTCTGGCAAAGATATAGGACATCTTTTGGGTTGGACGTTTTTTTTCCCAGAAGAAGTCTGGGATGTGCATAGTATGGGAACTCTCATTCATTCTTGGTAGGTTCCTTATCATTGGGTTTTCCTACCATGTGCAAAAATAGCCACTATTTGACTCCTTACACCTTCAGGCTGGGGATATGTTGTAACTCATTAATCAAATTAATCAAATGTCTAGTGATTCATATTTTAAAATACTTTGGACTGCATCACTAACTGCTAATTTTGTGGTGTGATGGGAACGTTTGAAGGAAAAGTGGGTCTGCTGGCAGAAGAAATGCTGATGGAGCAAAAGTACAACTTCCCAGGCCACATTTCCAATCTGGGGAGCTGTCAGGTTGGGAGTCAGTCCTTCCACTCATGTTTTCTTCCATAAAAAGGATCAAAACTCTGGTTACATGAAAGAGCTAAGCTTCATCCAAGTGAGCACCTTAGGGAACCAGAAGGACACAGATGGGAACCAGAGAGGAAAAGCCAACATCTCTGAGGGGGCACCAACCTCCCATCATGTCTGTATTTGGTGACTATGGCTAGGATCCCAGCCTCCCTGCTGGAGAACATCCTCATCCAACCCCACAGTAGCTACATACCAGTCTGAACCTGATGTTGACAGAGGCTCCCAGTCCTTCCTGGAGGACAGATGCATCTGTACTGGTTGGCTTCTTCTACACACGTTCCACCATTGTGACAAGGCTGGCTGGAACATTCACTAATATCTAGAGAAGAAGGAGTTTTCAAATACAACTATGTGAGTTCTAATTCTAAAACCAACAAAAAAAATAATGACAGGTTAGCTTTTTTACATTGTAGGACGACTCTTTCTCTCTATATATTTTTTTTTTGGTGGACTGGGGTTTGAACTCAGGGTTTCATGCTTGCTAGATAGACATTCTACTGCTGGAGCCACTCAGCCAGCCCTGCTTTGTTATCTTTATATTTTTTCTTCCAATACTGGAGTTTGAACTCAGAGCTTTGTGCTTGCTAAGCAGGCACTCTACTACTCGAGCCACACCTCCGTAGGACCGCTCTAGCTTTCTGTCTCCCTATCCTGTCCTTGCCACACTATCTATGAAAGCTGCAAGGGGGGGCGGATGGGGCTGAGATAAAACCTCGCTACCTCTCCAGACAGCAAACCCTGTGCCTGACACACACTGTACCCACCTGGGGCTCTGTGCAGGAGCCCAAGCACTTGGCCATATGATACCCAGAGGTAACATGCACTGGTGTGGCATAGACAGGTGTAGCCAGGCAGAGGCACTTGCCCACACTGCCTGTGAATCAAGCCCTTCTGCTCTCCAACTTCACCTCCATCAGCCAGCAACTAGGTGGATCACCTTTTAAACAGGAGCTAAATTAAAGGGAGTCAGAATGTCCAGTGATGGGGAAAATTAGTTCTCAAGTTTCACACCCAGCAGCCCTCCTGTGCTTCACCAGGTAGGGGTTTGCTGATTATTTCCTTGCTGTTGGTAAAGGCAGCTGTTCTTGCTGGTATGCACTGCAACTCTGTGGAAAAGCTACATGTAGACCAAGATATGTATTTTTAAAACTCAAGGAGGGGAGGTGGCACAAACAATGTATACACATGTAAGTGAATGTAAAAATGATAAAAGGAGAAAAGGAAAGAAACGCAATACATTTTCTCTGCTACCTTACAGGTGGCTGTTCTTTGCTTAGTTATACATTTTTGTATTCTTTCATTTTCCTGGAACATTTATTAATTTTTACATTAGAAAAAGATGATTTCAACACTTATCCCAAAACCAGGCAAAGACACCTCCAAAAAGGAGAACTATAGGCCAATCTCCTTAATGAACATTGATGCAAAAATCCTCAACAAAATAATGGCAAACCAAATTCAACAACACATCAAAAAGATTATTCACCACGACCAAGTAGGCTTCATCCCAGGGATGCAGGGGTGGTTCAACATACGAAAATCAATAAACATAATAAACCACATTAACAGAAGCAAAGACAAAAACCACTTGATCATCTCAATAGATGCAGAAAAAGCCTTTGATAAGATCCAACATCATTTCATGATAAAAGCTCTAAGAAAACTAGGAATAGAAGGAAAATACCTCAACATTATAAAAGATATATATGACAAACCTACAGCCAGCATTATACTTAACGGAGAAAAATTAAAACCATTCCCTCTAAAATCAGGAACCAGACAAGGATGCCCACTATCTCCACTCCTATTCAACATAGCACTGGAATTCCTAGCCAGAGCAATTAGGCAAGAAGAAGGAATAAAAGGAATACAAATAGGCAAAGAAACTGTCAAAATATCCCTATTTGCAGACGACATGATCCTATACCTTAAAGACCCAAAAAACTACTCAGAAGCTTCTAGACATTATCAATAGCTATAGCAAGGTAGCAGAATATAAAATCAACATAGAAAAATCATTAGCATTTCTATACACTAACAATGAGCAAACGGAAAAAGAATGTATGAAAACAATTCCATTTACAATAGCCTCAAACAAAATCAAATACCTAGGTGTAAACCTAACAAAAGATGTGAAAGACCTCTACAAGGAAAACTATACACTTCTGAAGAAAGAGATTGAGGAAGACTATAGAAAGTGGAGAGATCTCCCATGCTCATGGATTGGTAGAATCAACATAGTAAAAATGTTGATACTCCCCAAAGTAATCTACATGTTTAATGCAATTCCCATCAAAATTCCAATGACATTCATTAAAGAGATTGAAAAATCTACTGTGAAATTTATATGGAAACACAAGAGGCCACGAATAGCCAAGGCAATACTCAGTCAAAAGAACAATGCAGGAGGTATCACAATACCTGACTTCAAACTATATTACAAAGCAATAACAATAAAAACAGCATGGTACTGGCACAAAAACAGACATGAAGACCAGTGGAACAGAATAGAGGATCCAGATATGAAGCCACACAACTATAACCAACTTATCTTTGACAAAGGAGCTAAAAATATACGATGGAGAAATAGCAGCCTCTTCAACAAAAACTGCTGGGAAAACTGGTTAGCAGTCTGCAAAAAACTGAAACTAGATCCATGTATATCACCCTATACCAAGATTAACTCAAAATGGATCAAGGATCTTAATATCAGACCCCAAACTCTTAAGTTGATACAAGAAAGAGTAGGAAATACTCTGGAGTTAGTAGGTATAGGTAAGAACTTTCTCAATGAAACCCCAGCAGCACAGCAACTAAGAGATAGCATAGATAAATGGGACCTCATAAAACTAAAAAGCTTCTGTTCATCAAAAGAAATGGTCTCTAAACTGAAGAGAACACCCACAGAGTGGGAGAAAATATTTGCCAACTATACATCAGACAAAGGACTGATAACCAGAATATACAGGGAACTTAAAAAACTAAATTCTCCCAAAACTAATGAACCAATAAAGAAATGGGCAGTGAACTAAACAGAACTTTCTCAAAAGAAGAAATTCAAATGGCCAGAAAACACATGAAAAAATGCTCACCATCTCTAGCAATAAAGGAAATGCAAATTAAAACCACGCTAAGATTCCACCTCACCCCTGTTAGAATAGCCATCATCAGCAACACCACCAACAACAGGTGTTGGCGAGGATGCGGGGAAAAAGGAACCCTCTTACACTGTTGGTGGGAATGTAGACTAGTACAACCACTCTGGAAAAAAATTTGGAGGCTACTTAAAAAGCTGGACATCGATCTACCATTTGATCCAGCAATACCACTCTTGGGGATATACCCAAAAGACTGTTACTCCAGAGGCACCTGCACATCCATGTTTATTGCGGCACTATTCACAATAGCCAAGTTATGGAAACAGCCAAGATGCCCCAGCACTGACGAATGGATTAAGAAAATGTGGTATCTATACACAATGGAATTTTATGCAGCCATGAAGAAGAACGAAATGTTATCATTCGCTGGTAAATGGATGGAATTGGAGAACATCATTCTGAGTGAGGTTAGCCTGGCCAAAAACCAAAAATCGTATGTTCTCCCTCATATGTGGACATTAGATCAAGGGCAAACACAACAAGGGGATTGGACTATGAGCACATGATAAAAGCGAGAGCACACAAGGGAGGGGTGAGGATAGGTAAGACACCTAAAAAACTAGCTAGCATTTGTTGCCCTTAACGCAGAGAAACTAAAGCAGATACCTTAAAGCAACTGAGGCCAATAGGAAAGGGGAACAGGTACTAGAGAAAAGGTTAGATCAAAAAGAATTAACCTAGAAGGTAACACCCACGCACAGGAAATCAATGTGAGTCAACTCCCTGTATAGCTATCCTTATCTCAACCAGCAAAAACCCTTGTTCCTTCCTATTATTGCTTATACTCTCTCTACAACAAAATTAGAAATAAGGGCAAAATAGTTTCTGCTGGGTATTGAGGGGGGGGGAGAGGGAGGGGGCGGAGTGGGTGGTAAGGGAGGGGGGTGGGGGCAGGGGGGAGAAATGAACCAAGCCTTGTATGCACATATGAATAATAAAAGAAAAATGAAAAAAAAAAAAGAAAAAGATGATTTCATAAAACCCAAGGCTGTGTGTTTGTTATGAACTCCATAAGCCCAATTTTAGCATACAAACACAAGCCATTGTTATCAGAGAGTCACAAGCCCTTGCCACTGTGTGCATTGCTTACAGACTTGAAGGCAGTGACTGGGAAAGAACAAAAACATCTCTTTATTGGTGTCAGAGCCCTTCCCTGCTGTATCTGTCAAGAGGAAGAACCAGGTGCTTTGATCTTAATGAGAACTTCAGCCTTAGTCTGGGTGGGTTGGTGGAACTTTGACTTCTCTCAAGCTTCCTTGTGATAAGATATCATGTAGCCAGTGAGAGGGTGTCTAGTTACTCTGCAAGGACCCAGGCTGTCCAAACACTGCTTATCCCAAGGGAAGAAGCCATTTCTATTTCTCTGTAACCTCAACTTGGTTGCCTTCTTCCCTAGCCATTCTGTTTTCAGGTGACTGGTTTCCAGAAATGTGGCTGAAATGACACTGCACACAAATGCCATGGAGCTTGGTATTCCTGTTTACCCATGGTCAGGCTTCATTGTTGTGTATCTGCCTCATCTACAAGTAGGCAGATCACTAGGCCATGAAGTTGTGGGAAGAGAGCCAAAGAGTGTGAACACTGATACCTTTCTGCTTGGCCCAAGTGGGCTCAGGTCCATTGTCTCTGTTTTGGGGACTCCAGTGGAAGACATTGAGCCTAGCCTGCACCTGGACCCTATGGGTAGGAGCCAGGTGTCATCAGCTTGATAGAGACATATAAAGGTGCCCAGGATATTCATTTCTTGACAGGCTCCAGACAGACTCTCCATGTTTCTTATCTTGGTCTGCAGTCAGAGGCATTCAATGACTTGGGGCCCGGTCTGGGTCCCCATCCTGACTGAAGTACAATAGTCATCGAATCTGAATGTGTCTCAGCTGTGGCATTTAGTTAAGTGTACAGTGACTTTAGAGCTATAAAGAGAACACACTGACTGACAGAGACTGTGGAAAATGCTGGCAAACCAAGGCATGGGCAATAATCTTCTTTTCACTCACTGTTTCATGAATGCTTACTATTGTCACAATATTGAGTTAAGTGTTATATGCATGATCTAACTTTTTCCCTTTAATTTCTTATTTTTTCCTGGTTTTGTCATCTCATTTCAAATTTTCCATCATGTCTGAGGTCTTCTGACTTATGTGTGCTATTTTTTCAGAGT